ACACATGGTTATACCCGTTAAAACAGAAGTCTCAAGTGAAGGAAACGTTTGTGGCCTTCAAAAATCTGGTGGAAAATCGCTTTGGAACTAAAATCAGGAATCTCTATTCCGACAATGGAGGTGAATTCTTGGCGTTAAGGTCTTTCCTCACTGATAACGGTATCTCGCATCTTACGTCTCCACCACATACTCCCGAACACAATGGGATCTCGGAGCGTAAACACAGACATGTAGTGGAGACCGGTTTAACTCTCCTCCATCAAGCATCAATGCCCAAGACCTACTGGCCTTATGCATTTGCGACGGCGGTCTACCTCATAAATCGCTTACCAACACCACTACTCAACAATATGTCCCCGTATGCGAAGCTGTTTGATCAGGCACCTAATTACTTCAAGCTTCGTGTATTTGGAAGTTTGTGCTTCCCTTGGCTCCGTCCCTATGCCAAACACAAATTGGAGGATCGCTCAACGCCATGTGTATTCATTGGCTACTCCTTAAGCCAGAGTGCTTATTTGTGCCTCGATATTGCGACTGGACGACTATATACATCCCGCCATGTCCAATTTGTGGAATCCCGGTTCCCGTTTTCCACTCTGCGACAACCTCAAATCCAGACATCCATCCCCGATGAACCACCTCTTACCCCACCTCACCATACCGTCCTTACAGTACCCAAGTCGCCACTCGTACAGCAGCTGCCAGCGCCTCTGAGCTCAGTCCTTCACTCGCCACAGCTTCCGTCACAGTCGCAAGCTGTGCCTCCTGCTGTGCCGAATCCGGTGAGTCGTGTTTCTACGGGAACCGATGATGATCCAACCACATCAATTGTGGGCCGAAATGAGTCTTCCACAGATCCCACCCCACCAAGCCCAACACGTCCACCCCAAATTGAATCTCAGCCCACCACAACGAATCCAAATCAAAATGGCCCAAATCCAACAATCCCACAAAATCCAGCTCCTCCTCCTACTATACCACCGCCGACAAACACTCACCCTATGCAAACTCGCCGGAAAAACAACATCGCCAAACCCAAATCCAAACTCACCCTCACTGCCATCACCACTAAACTATCTATTCCCACTACCGTGAACCAGGCTCTGCGAGATCCGAAATGGCGAGATGCGATGCATCAGGAGATGGATGCCCAGACTAGAAACCATACATTCGATTTGGTTCCTACACCACCGCATCACAATGTAATCGCCACAAAGTGGATATTCACGATAAAGTACTTACCTGATGGCTCTATTGACAGGTACAAAGCACGTTTGGTGGCAGTGGATTCAATCAACAATATGGCATTGATTATGCGGAGACTTTTAGCCCTGTAGTGAAGTCTGTCACAATCCGAACTGTGCTCCAGCTTGCGGTTAGTCAGAGTTGGGATATTCGCCAGTTAGATGTCAATAACGCCTTCTTGCAAGGTACGTTGACGGATGAGGTTTATGTCACGCAACCGCCGGGATTTATCGACCGCGATAAGCCACACCATGTTTGTCGATTGCGGAAAGCGCTGTACGGGCTCAAGCAGGCGCCACGAGCCTGGTATCAGGAATTACGCAACTATCTCACCAGCCTCGGCTTTATCAACTCTCTAGCTGATACGTCGGTCTTCATATACCTGTGCGACACTGATATCGTATACACGTTGGTTTATGTAGACGATATTGTGGTAACCGGCAACAAACGGCCTTTTATCGATGACTTCATTGGTATGTTATCTACACGTTTCTCTCTTAAAGATCCAGTTGATTTGACCTATTTCTTGGGCATCGAAGCCACTAGAACGTCGCAGGGATTACACCTAATGCAGCGAAAGTATATCATTGATCTTCTAACTAAGACAAAGATGATTGATGCCAAACCAGTATCCACACCTATGGCGCCTACTCCAAAACTCTCACTGAAACTTGGCACACCATTATCTGATGCAAGTGAATACAGAGCAGTTCTCGGCAGTCTTCAATACTTGCAATTGACGCGGCCAGACATTGCCTTTGCAGTGAACAAGCTCTCTCAGTTCATGCATAACCCAACCGATGTCCATTGGCAAGCGGTGAAGCGTCTTCTTCGGTACCTCGCTGGCACGCAATCACACGGTATCTATCTCCGAGCTAATTCCCCACTATCACTACATGCCTACTCGGATGCGGACTGGGCAGGTGATATAGATGACTTCGTCTCTACTAATGGGTACATTCTTTATATGGGCACTACGCCGATTGCCTGGTCCTCAAAGAAGCAGAAAGGTGTTGCCAGATCCTCAACTGAAGCCGAATACCGAGCAGTTGCTAACACAACATCGGAATTATTATGGGTCTGCTCCTTGCTGTCAGAACTTGGTATCACACTTACCTCGGCACCGGTGATCTACTGTGACAATGTAGGTGCCACACGTCTATCGGCTAATCCTGTCTTCCATTCTCGGATGAAACACTTGGCGTTAGATTACCACTTCATACGAGACAACATTCAGGCGGGTACACTGCGAGTGTCTCATGTCTCTACTAAGGATCAGTTAGCCGATTCTCTCACCAAACCTCTATCCAAACCAAGGTTTCAAGAGCTCAACTGCAAGATTGGAGTGACAGAACTCCCTCCATCTTGAGGGGGCGTGTAGAATATAGATGTTGTAAGGATATATTTGTAAATCATTAGTCTTTAAAATCCTTGTGTAATCACTATAAATACCTGTAATCATTTAGTCTAATGAATTATTCAGTTCCCTAATCTATAGTTTGCTCATAAACCCAAAAGAGCGACTCCAAATTCGGCATTCGATTTTCTTCAACAACTTGAGAACAGAAAAAACACCGATCCATTCCCAAAATCGGATTATCCAAAGGGTTTTGAAGGTTTTTTCACTCTGTGTGATCTGGAAAGTTGTCAGCTTTAGCAATGTCTCAGAAACATCTGGAATCGTCACGAAGCTCGATTGAATCTTGCACATTACAGCTCCTCTCATGGCGGCCATTTCACCGCTCCAAAACCCTAGACTCATCTGACCAGTCGCAGTCGCATAAACCTTACGGCTCCATTTCGACCAAGCGGCCTTGCTTCTCCGATCGCTCCACTTCCTTCTCCATCGAGGCTATGAGCCGTCTCTCTCTCGCCGACGACGACAACAACAACAATGGAGGCAAGTTATCAGCTTCGAATTACAACAGTAAGGGAAGTTTCCGGTTAGTAGCGAGAAAGCGGCGGCGTCGAAATTCGAGATCGGTGTCTGGTCGGAGTAGTGATCGGAGTGGGACTCGGAGATGCTGCTCGATCGGAGCTCATGGGACTTGCTCGGATTTTCCTTTCGCCGTCGGTACGGATTCGAGTGGAGAGCTGTTCAGCGAAGCGAATTGGGCTTCCGATGTGAGCGAGGCGAGGAGAGAGCGGCGGGATTCCGGCGGAGAGAAGGAAGCCTCCGGATTTGGATTCGCCGTTGGAATTGACCTAATGGGTAACGAATCTGGGTATGGGAGTGAGCCTGGGTATAGAGGAGATGCTGAGTTTGGTTATGGTGATGAATTCGACGACGAAGAAGAAGATGTGAAGCCATTGTTTTGGGGAGGTAAGTTGGACACTTTTAGCAATGGTGTTCGATTTTTAGATTCTTGTTCAAATGATATGAAGATTTGGGGATTGATGACCATTGCTTAGATATGTTAAAGGTCGAAGATTTAGATGATGTCTTTGATACCAAAAAAGATGGAAATTTTGGTGTTTTTTGCCACTTCTTCGGATCAATGACTCTGAATTTGCTCTGTTTCTCTATGATATTGCCTCTGGCATGTAGCTTAAATGGATGCTGCAAGACATAGGAAATGTCAGAAAGCTGTCAAATTTGGGTTATAGAATGATAAATGTAGTGGAACATCATTCTATTTTGAGCCAAACCACAAAGCTTGGAAAGTCCTTTATACTATATAAATAAGCTACATTGTGGAATCTGGTTGTCATGTTAGCAGCTCTTTAACTGAAATGTGTTTGTGTCTTCTTGGTTGCTTAGTGATTGTTATGGATTGTGGTGCAGATACAGGTTCAACAATGGAGATGTCTGGTGATACGAAATTCACAGAGAGTAAACATCAGTTCAGGTGCCGTCGCAGAAGACAACATGACTACAAAACTGTTGATTCCATGAGATAAAACACAAACAATTCCATTACTGTCCAATCAAAGCCAAGACGGACTTTCACCTAATGGGGGAAGCTTTCCTGGTCCAATCCAAATGCGATTAGCTCTCATGCTCGCTATTAATTCGCAGATATTCTTACCGAGTCTTTTACAGATACCAAGACAAGAGGTGTGTTGGAGAAACTTTCCAGGTTTGTATGTATTTTGCTAACACCTGAAAAATTAAGAGCTTCTCTAGCAAATTTTTGGAGAGTATGTACCGTTTTTTTACTTTAAAGTTCGATTTCTCAGAAGTAAAGTGCTTAATATTGTAGACTAAAGAACGCTAAAACCAAGTAATCACCAAAAACATATCTTTGAATTAACGATAACTAACTCCATTTGATCTCCAGTTACTATCATCCGTGACAGCGAAACGAGTAGGTCAAGCACCGAAGTCTTCTATTAATTTCCCACCATGGATTCTTAATCGAGTGTGACGACTTTTCCCTTGACGAGAAAAAAATACAACTTTTCTACACTCTCTTCAGACCATAAATTTTCTTGCATTCTCATAAACTCAAATATTTAAGCCAAAGCCAAAGCCAAAAAAAAAAAAATATACAGAGCGATGTTCGTGAAGCTCGTCAACGTCGTCTTCTATTTGAGCATGATCAATCAATTCCTACAATCGTCTTCCCAAATTCTCAACTTCACTTACAATGGATTCCATCGTCCACTGAGTGCCATATCCCTCCAAGGGATCGCCACCGTCACACCCACCGGTCTCTTAAAGCTAACCGACACAACCGTGCAACAAACCGGTCACGCCTTCTATACCCTACCAATCCGGTTCAAAGATTCTCCAAACGGCACTGTCTCGTCCTTCTCCACCACTTTTGTCTTCGCTGTGCACTCTCAGATCCCGATACTTAAAGGCCACGGCATGGCTTTTGTCGTCGCTCCGAACACAAGCCTCCCCTTCTCGAGTACCAGCCAATACCTCGGTCTCTTCAACATCACAAACAACGGTAATGACACAAATCATGTGTTCGCTGTCGAATTTGACACGATTATGAGTCCCGAGTTTAATGATACGGACGATAATCATGTCGGAATCGATATCAATAGCTTGACGTCAGTGAAAAGTTCGACGGCTGGTTACTGGGATGAAAACGATCAGTTTAAGAATCTGTCTTTGATCACTGGTAAGCCGATGCAGGTTTGGGTCGATTATGATGGCCTTACACGTCAAGTCGATGTAACGATGGCTCCATTCAGCGAGAATAAACCTAGAAACCCACTTCTTTCTGTTGTCAGAGATCTATCTTCGGTTCTATTGCAAGATATGTTCCTAGGTTTCTCGTCTGCGACTGGTTCTACTATGTCGGAACATTATGTTCTCGGGTGGAGTTTCCAGATGAAGGGGAATGCTCCGCCGTTGGCCTTATCGAAACTTCCGACACTTCCGAGGTTTGACTCGTTTGAGGCCAAGAGTACCAACCGCTTCTTATTTATTTTGACGGAGGTGATGGCAAAGTTGTTGATTCCGGTCTTGTTTATCTTCTCGCTCATCTTCCTCGTGCGCTTCATCGTGAAAAGGAGGAGAAAGTTCGCGGAAGAACTCGAAGATTGGGAAACAGAGTTCAAGAAGAACCGGTTGAAGTTCAAGGACTTGTACCGTGCCACCAAAGGGTTCAAGAAGAAGGACATTCTCGGATCAGGCGGGTTTGGGAGCGTTTACAGAGGTGTCATGCTCAAGACGAACAAGGAAATTGCTGTGAAAAGAGTCTCGAACGAATCCCGACAAGGGCTTAAAGAGTTTGTGTCTGAGATCATAAGTATTGGTCGGATGAGTCACCGAAACATAGTCCCTCTCTTGGGTTATTGCCGCAGGAGAGACGAGCTTCTTCTGGTGTACGACTACATGCCCAATGGAAGCTTAGACAAGTACTTGTACAACAGTCCGGAGTTAACCCTCGACTGGAAACAGAGGATCAGAGTCATTAAAGGCGTGGCCTCTGCCTTATTCTTCCTTCACGAAGACTGGGAACAAGTGGTGATTCACCGCGACATCAAAGCCAGCAACGTCTTGTTAGACGCGGAGCTCAACGGGAGACTCGGGGATTTCGGTTTAGCTAGGTTGTGTGGTCACGGGTCGGATCCTCAAACCACGCACGTCGCTGGAACATGGGGATACCTAGCTCCCGACCACATCAGAACAGGAAAGGCCACGACCGCTACTGATGTTTTTGCGTTTGGGGTGCTTCTACTAGAAGTTGCGTGCGGTAGACGTCCCATCGAGATTCAGAACACTGAGAGGGTCTTGCTCGTGGATTGGGTTTATGGGTTTTGGACCGAGGGAAACATCTTGGATGCTAAGGATCCGAATCTTGGGACAGAGTATGACCAAAGAGAGGTCGAAATGGTCTTGAAGCTAGGTTTGCTCTGCTCTCACTCCGAACCACATGCTAGACCAACGATGAGGCAAGTGCTACATTATCTAAGCGGAGATGCAGTGCTACCAGATTTTTCGCCGTTGGACTTGCGTGCGGGAGGGATGATGTTGGGAATCCACAACGGATTTAGTGAGTTAGGCACGTTTACCTGTGGATCTTCCATTGTTGATTCTATACTCTCCGGCGGGAGATGATAGTTGAATGTCATATCGTGTGTCTTACATTTCATGTGTAGAAAAATATTATTCCACACGACATCTGGGACCATGTCTGTATATTTAGGTGTGTATTTTGTTGACTCGAAATAATTGAAACTTTTGTGAACGTAGAAGACTGGTTAACAGTTTGCTCTTGCATTCAAAGTAAAGTGGTTGATAGCTGGTTGATGGGACACTTGAATTGGAATAGAGAAATTTCTAAAATGTACTGTTATCAGAGTTTTCTACATAACTCGAATAGTACATTTGAAAAATAACAGCACAAGAAAGGTAGATTCAAAACAGAACTAAAATGACACATCAGTGTGTGGTGGTCCCTTAAAAACCCATTCGGGCAACCCATTTAAGTCAAGCTGGAGAGAGCTAGTCTCCTTTCACACATATGATTTACTGTCCCATTTGGCCAAAGTATCTATCTACCGGTGATGGTGATGAGTCTATTTGCCATGATGATGACTTCTTTATCTCCAACCTCTAATGGTTTTTCCGCACGAACACTTGCACTCTTCTTCAGAAGACCCCTGAGACAAGCACAAGTATCAAGCATCTAAAGTCGTCTCCAATGATGCACACAATGCTACTACCCATTTGCAGTATTGTGATTGCTCTATTTTTTTTATTGAAAGTATATGAACCTTGAGCCAAAGAATAACCACTGCTGAAACAGCATTCACTGCCTCTACACACTTAGAACCGAAGAACCTTGTATGGCCCTTTTACAATCTATACCAAAGAATCTATATACAGAAAGAATGTTCGAGGTGTTAGCTCACAGAAGCCAACAAAAGAGCTTATAACTGTGTTTAAGAAAAGAGAAAATTAGTGAACAATGGACTGACAGATTTTCTTCAGCTCAATGTACAAAGATCAGAATTAGAAACCACTCCTGAAAATAGACACTAGAGTCTAGAGCTGACTAGATTTGTCTGTAATGCTTGATTTGAGAAAGAAAACACCGCGAAATCGACAACTCATTCGAGTATAGGGAGAAAGAGAGAGAAACACATAAAACTGCAGCAGCACTATCTAAATATCGATGGCAAAATTTCTTAGACCTAAAGTACTTCTCAACATGATCAACCAACAAGAGGCAAAACAAAACTGCTGGCTAGGGAAATACTATAATGCAAGGAATAAGACAGAAACAAAGCACGTGAGAGTTATAAGTTTACCAATCCCAATGACTAACTAGACTTTCATAGTCAGTCACCACCTCAGGTAGAAGCCGAGCATACATCTCACTCCACAGTTTCTTCTGATTCACAATGTGGGCAAACCTCATCGACTCCATCTGTTTTCTAGAGTACAATATCCTAAACTGCTTCCCATTGTTCTCATCATGATTATGATATTCAGAAAGTCTGGTTGATGCATCTCCCTTATGTTTTCCCCCATCAATTGGTTTCTCTCCAATCTTCTTGTGCTTTCTTGGTCTTTTAGGATGATCGTTACTTTTCTTGTACAAAGGAACAACACCAACAAACGCAGTATCATCAATTAACTCGATCTTCAAAGATCTCTTAACAAGAGCAGTGTTGTCCCCAAGAACATCTTTAGAACCATTCCCATTCTTTTCGAAGATTGACCCAACTTCAATTTTAGCCAAAAATATTTTCTTTTCTGCCTCCAAAAGTCTCTGAGCCTCGGATTCTTGTTCCTTCTCCTCAAAATCGAATCTTTCTTTCCCATCAGTATCATCAATCTTGTGCTCAACATCTCCAAATTCCTCGCCTTCTTTAGAGAACGGCTCAGAGAAAGATGTTTCCTTAACCCTATTGCGTTGACGAGATGCGTAACCAATTGCAGCATCCACAGTGATCATCTGGGTTTCTTTAAGAAGCAAATAAGTGGTTGCTTCGGAGGAAGAAGCAGAGTGATCAGTCATCTCAGAGTAGGCTTGCTTCGTCAGGCTAATCTCTACACCAGAGTCGCTCTCTTCTGCACCTTTATCCCCAGAAATGGAATCAGATATCGTTGAAAACTTTGACCGAAATCAGATTCCGTCGTCACGTGAGAGAGATAGAGGGAGAGACGATGAAGAAGAAGAAGCAGAAGAAGCAAATTCTTGTTATAAAAAAAACGGTTCGACTTAACCAGAAAACTCTCAAATCTCAACCCTTGAACCGGTTTTAGCCAAAACTGCAATCAGGAGAATGCAATAAAATTTTCTATCGTTACTAAACATTTATCACTAAAATATTGTTTGATTCAACAGATTTCCATTAAGAAACAAAATGAGAACAACAAGTAGAAGAAGAAGATTCTACATCTTGTACCAATTACATTACAGACAACCAACTTGTAAATTGGATAACTAAAATAACCTTCTCTCTACTACACTAGGATTAAACTTACCACTGAAAGAGAGGAGAATCATCATCATGTTGGAACACTGTAGTAACCAACATCATCATCTTGATACTCCATCAACATCATCACACTTGCAAATAGCACCAACGCAACAAATGATATCGCAAGAATGAGTTTGACATAGCTCATCTTCTTCTTCTTCTTCTTACCCATAATCATCTGTGTTTGAAGTGTTGTTTCTTCACCATATATGACAGTTGATGATGACATTGTTTCCGCCGCCACGGTTGGAAACTGCTTTCTGAGTTTAGTGTTTTGGCGAGATCGCATTGGACTTTGAAAGTCTGAATGATCCAAGTCCAGATCATCAGGATACTGAAGAGAGCTGATTAGCTTCCTTGGGGTGCTATAGATGTTGAAATCTTCAGCATTGATGCGTGAACAACACTGTCTCTGTTGCATTCAGAAAAAAAAAAGTCAGAAATGTTATATATAAACTAGCAATCATTAAAAACAGCAAAGATGATTTTGATGATGCTCCAAGTTTTTCACCTGTGGACTTGTAGGAGTGGTGTGTTGCAGCCGCCTGTTTCGACTCAAACTTCCCATTAGAAACCCTTCGAATTCATCGCTGCCATTATCTCCATCTTCACAACGATCATAAGGGACAAGAGGTGAATCAGACACAGTGGTGTCTCCAGAGAAAAGACCATCCTTTAAAGAGATATCAACTCCTCCTTTAGGTCTCCAAAGTTTGCGATTCACACTCCGCTGATCCAATTCAGAGTTACAAGAAGCACGAGAAATAGGTGAGGACTCAAGCGGAGAGTCATATCCGCTAAACGAGCCTCCAAGAGTCTGTGATTCTGGTGATAAAGAATCATCAGGAGAATGAGCATTAACAATGGAAGGACAGTTTCTTCGATTGAAATTCGAACCAGTAACTGAACGACAACCTTTCTCCATCTTTGACTCGAGCTCTCCTGCTATTCTTTTCGAAGTCATCATTGCTTCATAAGCAGCTCCTCTAACATAAGCCATTTGATCAGATTGGCACCTCTCCATTTCCTTGATTATCAAATCAACTTCAGAGTATATGCTTCTCGAGTCCAAGCACTTCATTAGGAAATTCAACATCTGGACTGCTGATAATCTTTTCTGCGAGTTTCCTTCTGAGAAGCCAAATCCAAGAATTCTCAGTCCAGTGTGTATCAGCAGCCTTGCATAGGCTTCAACAATCAAAGGGTTATGCTTAGCAAGTGACATAACCAGACCCATTTGAAGATGTGTTTGGTTCGAGTTTGAGTCCAACGCAACGACCACGTTTTGACAGACCCTGTTCACCATCTCATCCGAAGCAAAACGCCAGTTGTCACAATCCACAAGAGCCTTCAGACACAATGCAGAGCCAGAAGTGAGGCTCTCTTGAGAACCCAAGAGAGAATCCGAAAGAGGCTTACACAGAGAGTGGATGATGAATCGTTTCTTGTCTTCTGCGGTTGTCGGGTCAATCCCGTATCTCGCTATAGCCGGAATGACTTTGGAACACGCTTGTTGGAGAGGGAAAGAGCCAGCACTTGAAGCTAAAGTCTTGACAATGGTGGACATGATAATATCAATCTGGGGGACAATGTTTGGTCCGTGAACACGCGCAAGGATTTCATAGAGCGAAATCGTGTATTCACCAGACAAAGAGTTGGTTTCTTTAGTCTCGAAAACCTGTGCTAAGAAACTGGGAATAGCCTTTGAATCCAAGTCCTTGACATAAGATTTAAGAGCTTTCATTGCTGATTTACGGCTCTCTGTGTCTTTGTCAAGATTAGCCAGTTCTTGTCGCAAAATTGGGTTGAGATTCAAACCCATTACTCCAACTGCAAACACCACAAGACAAATTCACAGCAACCACTTAAGATTTCTTATGGAAAGTCATACACTTTAGCTACATTTTTTTCAAATCTCATCATTGCAGCCAGAATTAAAGACCATATACGAAAGAAATACAGAAATCAGCAAGTTCCAGAGAAATAGCGAAAGTACAGAACACAAGAACATTAAGATCTCTTCTTAAAGACCAAAACTTTAGCTACATTTTAAAAATTAATCCTTTGCAAATGATTCTTTAGTGATAAAGCCGTGAACTTTCCGCCGAAGATAAACTCGAGTCAAACCAGGATTAAAGACAAATATACGAGGAAACGAAGAAATAGACAGCTAATTCGAAATCAGACAATATTACAGGACACATAATCTCGGAGAAAGAAAAAACAGATCCATACCTGCTGCTTCAGGTGAGTTTGACGGTAAAAGCTCAAACCTTGTGGGGATTTTGGTGAAGTCAAAGCAAAAGATATGAATGAAGAAGCAAAGTGAAACTCTCAGAAATTTACAAAAGAAAAATCCCGCGGTCCAATAGATAACACATTTTTCAAAAATATTTGAGGAGTTTTTGGTCTGTTGTGGATTTAGGGTTTTTCTTTATTTTGTCTTTTTAAGGTCACTTTGATTCATTTGTATCTGTCCGTTTATTAAAATAATTATTATTTTCTCGCGTTCCGACAAGCAAAATAGATCGTAGATCCCTTGATGAAATTCAAATTTCTCTTCGAAATCTCAGCGCTCTTGGTTGCATTGGGTCCCATTCAGAAATGGACGAAACTACCCCTTTTCAGATCTAGCGATCTCTACATTTTCAAAATATTCTAGGTGAGACCATGTGAATATCCATGACCAATTAAGTGTTATTTCGGTGGTTTCTAGACACGCATTCGAATTTAAGATACAACTACATTGATGTTCCAAAGAAAAGCAAATAAAATATATACAAGTTTTGTAGATTAAATAAAAAGAGTATTGCCATCATCATATATATTATAAGCAAAGTAAAATTTTGAGTTAATGTTCTGTCATTCATTTTTAGGGTGGCTAATTACCTTTTACCCCTCTTTATATTTTTTAAAATAAAATTTAATAAAAAATTATTAAAAAACGTAAATTAATTTAAAAATTATTAAAAATCATAAATTAAATAAAATATTAAAAATCGTAAATTCATAAAAAATTGTTAAAAATCAAAATTTAATCAAAAAAATTTAAATTTAATAAAAAATATTAAAAATCGAAATTTAATCAAAAAATATTTAAAATAGAAAATATTAAAAATCGAAATTTAATCAAAAAATATTTAAAATAGAAAATAACGAAAATTTAAAAATTGGAATTTAATCAAAAAAACATTTAAAATCATATCATATATAATATGCGAAGTAAATTTTTCGCTATAAGGTCTCTCATTCAATCTAAGTAACTAATTCCCCTTTATTCGTTAATAAAATATTTTTTAAATATCCTAAATTAATTAATTTATTTTCGTAGTTTGTATAACAATTTTGCTGCCACTTTTAGTTACTTTGATAATATTAAGATAATTTCAACCGGATTATCTGTTGAGCAAGATTATCTAAAAAAAAATATACATGTGATGTGGGAAATCTTAGCTTAAGTTGAGAGCTATATATAAATATATTACTTTTTTAAATGTATCTTAAGCTCAGTTGTGGTTTGGTTTCTTTTATGACCATGATTCGCCAAGACTTCACCACCATTGTCGGATTCGAGTTTCCTGTTTTCTGTTCCAAAGCCATCTCCCTCCTGACCTCTCCAGCCCCCAAACCTTTCCTTCACTCGTGGCTTCTGTGTCTTCGCCTTTATTCTCCTGTATTTCGAGTTGTGTTCATCCAGTATCAGGCTAATACCGTTTTCTGTCAATCGCAAGAACAGGCTCCATCCTCTCATCCTCTCATTTGTATTGGCGAGGGTGAGTCGTGGAATTCGTATTCCAATACATCGGCTAACTCTGGCCAAATAAATAAGCCGATGTCTGCAGGGAGATTGTTCTATCAAGGAATCAAAAAAAGTAAAACCAAAATCTGAAACTTCGGTACGCAGAATAGGACGAGAAGGACCACAAATCCGGAAGTCCAGGGTGAGATAGACGAAAGAACCAGGAAGACATGGTCG